ATACTGGATTGGGTTGCCGTGCCCTCCTGCAAGGGATCTTCCCCACCAAGGGATCAAACATGTGTCTCTTACATCTCCCGCATCGGCGTGCGGGTTCTTTACCATTAGTGCCACCTGAGAAGCCCTCATATGATGGAATGCTAGAATATGATCACCAGTATTCCATTGTATGAGTCTATACTATGGATAAATCTTAAAAAGTAAAGGGTGCATAAAACAGCAAATTAGAAAGGGATATTATATATGATCATTATATTAATATAATGATGCCACTGACGTAAACTGGGGAAAAAAAGCCTTACAAATCAATAGTTATGTATCAGTACTAATATTGGATATATACAAACATGAATATTGAACAAAAATGAAAAAGATACACTGCAAGTTTAGGAAAAAATGAACTATAAACATATTTCTTTTTTCAAAAGAGCTCTGATACAACATTGTAAATCTGTTGGATCTTGTATTCATAATATGTACAGAACTCTTAGAACTCAGCAATGAAAAGACAGTTAACCCAATTAAAAACTGGGCAAAGGCTATGAATACTCATTTCTTCAAAGAAGGTATGTACAGGACCAATAAGTACATTAAAAGTTGTTCAACGTCATTAATGTTTCAGTTCAGTTCAGTCGCTCAGTCATGTCCGGCTCTTGGCGACCCTATGGACTGCAGCACACCAGGCCTCCCTGTCCATCACCAGCTCCTGGAGTTTACTCAAACTCATTTCCATTGAGTCAGTGATGCCATCCAACCATCTCACCCTCTCATCCCCTTCTCCCACCTTCAGTCTCTTCAAGCATCAGGGTCTTTTCAAAACAGTCAGTTCTTTGCATCAGGTGGCCCAAGTATTGGAGTTTCAGCTTCAGGATCAGTCTTCCCAATGAATATTCAGGACTGGTTTCTTTTAGGATGGACTGGTTGGATCTCCTTGCAGTCCAAGGGACTCTCAAGAGTCTTCTCCAACACCACAGTTCAAAAGCATCAATTCTTCTGTGCTCAGCTTTCTTTATAGTCCAACTCCCACATCCATACATGACTACTGGAAAAGTGATAGCTTTGATTAGACAGAACTTTGTTGGCATTAATGTTCAGTTAATTTAATTAATGTTGGTATTAATGTTTATAAAAATGCAAATGAAACCACTTCATACCCAGTAAAATGGCTAGAATCAAAAAGTTAAATAGTAGCAAGTGTTAACAAAAACATGGGAAAATTGGATTCATACACTGATGGTGAGAATGTAAACTGGTGTATCCACTTTGAAAATAATCTGGCAATTCCCCAAACAATCAAACATGCAGTTATGATGTGACCCAGCAGTTCTCCTAGGTATTTACTCAAGAGAAATGAAAACATATGTCCATATAAAAATTTGCACAGCTTTTTTATTAATATTTCAAAGGTGGTAACAATCCAAATGTCCACCAACAAGTGAATAAACAAAATGTGATACAGTGAAATGTTATTCTGCCATAAACTATAATGAAGTATTCCACAGTCTAGATAAAAGATTAAATGCAATACAAAAAGAATCCTAATTAAAGGAAATGTTAATTGTTTTTGAGGGTCTGCTATATGTCAGGCACTGTGCTGGCATTTTGCATATAGTGTTTCTGTTAATCCTTCAAAAAGAGGACACTAAAGTTCATGGAGTTTAAATCATTTGTCTAAAGACCACATTTATTAAGCTATAGAGCAGAATTTCAGTATAGAATTGTCTGATTCCAAATTCATATTTTTTCTATTATAGTGCTTTTATTTCTAAAAAAGCAATTGTGAAGACAGATGACTGTAATAGAAAGTATTTTCTGTTTATCACATATTATATTGTATACCTTGTATTCTAGCTTAGCATTGTAATTGGCTATAACTAATTTCCCTTAATGATTCATCTGTATATCCTCAGCTCTTCAAAATGTGCCTAATGTTTAGTATTTGCTCATTAATTACTTGTCAGTTAAAAGAGTGGATGGTTAACAGATCTCAATTGTTTGTCTATATGCTGGTATTCTTACCTGAGTTTGAAAATGATTTTCCTTCATAGGACTAAGAATTAAACTCAAATTCATTAGTTTGATAGCTGCCCTTTTATTTATAGTTATTAATCTCTATGTAGACTTCAGCTGAAATATGTTACATCAGCCAGCCCACCGAGAGATTGAAGTGAAGGACCCAGTGAAGAACAAAGCATGATTCAAAGTTCTTAATAGTGAAGTCAGCTTAATAACATTTTGATGTTTAAATAATTCATACTTGTTTGTGAAATCAATTTCCTGGCTTAATTTCTTAGGAAAATCATATAATGAGTTCAAATTTAGACATAATAAGATTGGGTATCTGCAGTTTATCAAGGTAAATAAATCCAGAAATTAGTTGGAAATACAATTTTGGAGTTTGGGGAATCTAGAGCTATACTCAGTAGCCATTAACTGCATGTGGCTATTTAATTAAAATTAAGAAGATTAGAGAAGATGAGTTCTTCATTCTCACTGGTCACATTCCAAATGCTCAGTAGCACTTGTGTACATTTTCAGGCCATGTGTAGCCAAATATAGCTAGAGGCTATTATCAGACAGCACCATTATAGAATACTTTCATCATCACAAAAAGTTTTATCAGCTAGCCCTGTTCTCAAAGCCAGAAGAAAAGGTTTAGGAGCTATTTAGAGACTGAACAGTAGTTAATTCAGCAAACATTTGTTCATCTTCTGTAGTCTCTGCATATATAAATAAATAAACTGAAGTAAAGGGCTCATGTATGTTGTAGCAGAGTTGACAACATGCAAACAAGTGAATACAGTCTTGTACCAAGTATTTTAATAAATATACAAAGTGCTGTGTCTCTAATACAGTAATTACCTAACTCTGCTTTAGGGTGCCAACATGTTGAAGGATGAGTAGTATTTTTGAAAAAGGAAACAGTTCCTCATAGGAAAATGTCAGCAGAAGTCAAGTGCGAATCAGATTGTGCTGGAGAATAGGCCAGGAAATGAAGATGAAACTTTTGACTATGGAATACTAGATTGAACGAAATAGAGCAGACGGATAGCTGAAAAGCTATAGGGTGGTCAGTACAGGAAAATACGGAAAGTAAGAGGCAGGCAGATGTCCAGCATCAGTTCAGGAGAAATCTTATAAACATTGTGTCCTGTATATGTTCTCTCTCTGTCCTGTAAATCGGTGCGTTTCTCCTATGCTAGAGGGCATATCCTTAAAGCAACAGATCTGCACTGATAAAAATAATAAAAAATTGTTCACTCATTATTGTGTTTCCTTTAAAATATATGTAGATATTATTAATAAACGATTATGCCCTGACATTTGGATAAAGTTTGGCACTTTTATGTAGTAGTTCAGATTCCAAGGTGGTAAATGTTCATTTGAAATTGGAGTAGTAATTTAAGTAATTAAAGTACTCACTTTAAGTAGTTAGTTGATAAGTTTTAAGTCCACTGCACTGGGAGTTTACCTTAAGAGAAAGTTTGTTTGAATGGTCTTGGAAAATGAAGTGACTTTTCAATAACAACAATAATCTCTTATTTTACTTTGAAAAAAAAAAAATCTGCATTGGACTAAATGATATCTCAAGTTTCCTTAGCTCTGACTTTCCCCAGGCTGTATGCCCTGTTTGTTTAGAGGTGTTCATGTCAGGCTTGCTGATTTCTGTTATCTATCTATACATCTTGGTCCTTCTTTTTCCTTCTCACTCCAGAGATGTCTTTTTCTGCTGTCTTGCTTTTTTTGAAAATTATTTCTTTCGTTAAGAAAATAATTTTATATTTGATCCTCTTAAATTTTATGTTTTCTTCCATAACTTCTCCAAGCCACTGTATTTTTTAAATTATTTATTAGGAAATTTAAGAAATGTTAAATACATTTTTCTAGATTTTTCTAATCTTCATTAAGTATATACTAAGCATGGTTATAACTTTAATCAGGGACATTTTCTTTTTTTTTTTTAAATCAGGGACATTTTCATTACACTTTTTTGTGTTACGTTTATGTGACATTTTGTATTAGTATTTGCATGTATCATGTTGTTGTTAAGTTGCTAAGTTGTAGCTGACTCAACCCCGTGGACAGTAGCCCTCCAGGCTCCTCTGTCCATGGGGTTTCCCAGGTAAGAATACTGGAGTAGGTTGCCATTTCCTACTCCAGGGGATCTTCCCAACCCAGGAGTTGAACCCACATCTCCTGCATTGGCAGGTGGATTTGTTACCTCTGAACTACCCGGGAAGCCCATGTATCATCATAGCCTACTTGTAAGAATAATTTAAGTCTACATGATAAGGCATTATTTGCAGTCATTGTCAACTTTATCTGCCCTTTGGTGGTAGCCATCTTATCCAAAACATATGTTTCAAGCAGATGTTTTATCTGTTTTTCAGGAAGTAATATAAATATTAGTAGTATGAATATTCAGAATACTTAACGCTCAATAGCTGTATTTATCTCTGTTCAAAATGCTAAGAGAGCTAGAAGTTAACTATTGGCACATATTCAGGCAGTAACTTTTATCAGTTGTCCACTCACCCCCTGTTGACAGTATTAACTGAAACCAGGCATTAAAAGCATTTTCTCTAAAGAATGACAAAAGAAAACTGCCTGGCTGATCTGTCCTGCGAATTGAGTGAGGTCTTAAGCATGGCAGCAGGGATACAAGGATGTAAGAAATGAAAGAAGCTGAGTGGAGAAGAGAACCTATTCAGTAATTTTACAGAATGCAGTGTAACTGTCAGATCTGAACTCTGGTTTTTTAAAGGGGTTAGGAATTGGAAGGTCAGCAGTGCAGTGTCTTTTTTTATTCCCTTACTTTTGGCTTAAGTCTGATCTCCAGAAAAGTGAAGTAATTAATTTTTTCAACAAATGTGTAGTCCCCGATTTCCTTCCCTATTAAAGAGCATACATCTACTCTCTTAACTTGCAACATTTAATATCTTGATGTGCAGATTTGATCTGCTGTTCTTATAATTAACACTTCTTCCCCTAATTTTTAGGTTATTCTGGTACAAGTTAACCCAGGGGAAGCATTTACAATAAGAAGAGAAGATGGACAGTTTCAGTGCATTACAGGTAAAAATGGTCATTTATTATCATTTGAGACAAGACTAAAGGTTATGATACATAAAAGTGTTATATGCCTGTGGTTTCTTCCTTTCTTTCTGACTGCCACCACACCAAGGCACGAACTTTGCATACTTTATGGCTTAACTACAGCCAACTATAGTCTCTTTCCCAGGGTTTCTTGGTTAATATACTATAATGTTGTTCATGTCACTCCCCTGCTCAAAAATCTTTGGTGAATCCAGTTCAGTTTCCTTAGTCTTTTTGAAAGATCATTTCATCATTCTTGCTTGCTTCTTTCCCCACTTTCCTTTCAATACTGTTTTGCTTTCAATACTGTTTCCCTTTAGTCTTGCTAAGTTGGCTTATCCGCTATCTCTGAACCCTTTTTATATTGAATACTTTCTGTACTGTTTTTTCTTATCTACAGTTTACCCATATCACCACTACCTCCAGCCTATCCAGTTGCTTCCAGACTGAGCTCAGATCTTACCTTTAAAAGGTTTATTTATAAAGACCCATCATTATGTGTACTCATGTACTGGTTGGATGAATTACTTCATAATTCTTGTGTAGTAAAAGAATTTTGGTTGTGTAAGTTCCAGCATTTATTCTAACTAAAGAGTCCTTGATTCGAAAGTAACCTGTTAATTAAACTAAAATCTTAGTTAATTTTGGAAGTGAGTACTCTGAATGAGAGCCCTAAATTTAACAAGTATATCTGTGCAGAGGCACATTTCAAAGAGTAATCAAGCTAGTGAATAGTTATTGCTCCTAATAGACCTGTATAAATAGGATGCCCACTAGCTAATTTACTAATTCAAATTCCTAGTGAAATAAACACTTGTAAGAGAAGCTTCCACTAAACTTCAAAACTTATAGAAATAATGATGCTGTCTTTAGCTTGGTACATAAAACCTTACTTAACAAAAATGTTCAAGGAGTATTAGCTTCCTTCTCTTTTGATTTCTTAACAAGAAAAACTGTCTTTTTTACTTTTGATTCTCTGTGCTAAAATAATGCCTTTTGTTTAGTAGGTGTGCTGTTGATATTTATTAAAACTAACTGCTAAAATATTTTTAAGTATATTGGTATGCTTGTTTGCCTTGGTAACTACTATGTACTGAAAATATATTTTTATACTCAGAGGTATTTTAGTGCCTTAGAGTTTTCAATATGAGCACCAATTAAGATTGCATAGTAATATGGAAATTTTAATGTAAAAATACAAATGTAGTGAGCTGTAAGTAATGCCTAGATGTTAACCATTTAGCCAAATCCTGGATTTCTGGCTTTTTTTTTATGATTTGACTCTCAAGTGTAAAAAAAAAATTGTTGAGGTGAATTCGGGTTTATTGCAAGCTGTAGCTCACCTTACCTCGAGAAGTCAGGAACTAACTGAGGGTCCCCCATGTGTGGGTTCCGAGCCCCTTCACCCGCTAGAGTCAGTGTGCCATTAATACTGCCTCTACCTCTTCCTGCTTTCCATTTTGTTTCCAGCTAGCTCTGACCAGCTTCCTAGTAGTTACTGATGTGTGTTTCGCCATTGTTGCTGCTGGTGTCACTTTCTAATCTGCCAGTGGGAGGTTATTGGACCCTTGGTGCTTCTGCTGCCGTCTAACTCAGAGAGTGACCAGCACTGCTGCTCTTCATTACTGCTTTTCTGCTCTCACAGTATCTCCTCATATACCTGATCTTGACTCTTCCTGCCTTTATAGGGGCTTATGAAGTTAGGGAAGGTTTGTCCCCACTAGTAAGTACCCCTCTGTTCTCCATGTGTTTGGGAATCACGGTGAGGATAAGCACACACGTGGTCAGCTCTATCATATTTGCCATCTCCTTTGCAGAGCATTCTGTTGGTAAGTCTTTTCTAAACTGATCCAGATGACATTTAGGTCTTTAGTAAAACAACATTTTGTTAAATACTTAGAAGCTCTGTATCCCAATTATCCCAACTCTGTTACCCTAGCGTGAGTTCTCTGCACTCCAGATGTTGGCACTTCTGGCCTCTGTGTTCTAGTATGAATTCTTGTGCTCATGAGGTCTGTTCAGAATGCTTTTGTCTTTATAGTTTTACCTTTGCTAGTAGTATCTCATAAATGAAAGCATGTGCAGAATTTTACTTTTGGTGTCTTTTCACTTAGTGTAACAAGTTTGAGGTCCATCCATGTTGTTCCTGTGTCATTCGTTCGCTCATTCTTATTGCTGAGTTGTGTTACGTTGCATGAACACCCCCATATTGTGTCTGTTTAATCACCTGTTGAGGGACCTTTGAGTTGTTTCTAGATTTTGGCTAACATAAATTAAATGGTTGCAAATATTTGTGTTTTAAAAAAGGGCTGTTTTCTCCCAGGATGTCTTTGTTGGGAATGGGAGAGGAAGATTTCATCCAAGTAGGACCCCTAGTGACCTGCTCTGATATCCTAGAATCCCTGAGACGTGTGTACAAACTACACCTCAGGCCCCATGAATATTGTTAGATATGTCAGATCTTTGATATTAAAAATGTCTGAAATTTATTCAAAGTTAAATGTCTTTTATATATCATGGTCACTATATTATTTGCTATAATTACTATAACTCGCAGAGTGAAATATAATTTTTCTTACTACATTCACAATAAAACTTTAAAGAAATATTAATAACAAAATGTATGAATTAATTAATGGTGCATTTTTAAAGGTACAAGTCTGGTCAGCCTGGGTTCTGGGACTAATGGGTGGGAGTTAAAGGGAAACAGATTTAACTCAGAATGAGGAACAGCTCTGTAATAAACAGAGCCCGTCAGAGAGACTCAGGAGCAATCAGTTTCCCATTTGCCTTTGTAGGTGGTAATGCATCTACTGAGTCTTCACTTGATGGTGCCATTAGCAGATTTAATTTCTCTTCAGTGGATGGTTGGAGTTAATGCCTTCTAAGGTTCTTCACGAGTCTAAAATGTTCTGATTCTATATCCTTCAGTAGATTACTTAAATTCTGCCCATTATTTTGCACATCTGTGAAATGAGGATGCACTAGTGTGAATTAAATTTTCTACCAACTCTCATTTTTTTTTATTTTTTTTTGGTATTCATAATTATGGTAATATCTTATGCCATATCTTAAATTTATTTTAATAATAAGTAGATCAGTATTCCAAGAATTTTTTAAAAGACCACTGATTATCTTTGGACTAAGGACTTTTTTTTTACTACAAATCAGACTGAACTAAATGAAGCTCTTTAAGGTATATGGAAATTATAATTAACTCAAGTTCAAACCATATATAGTAGTCTCATTCCCATATGATTAGCTATTATTTACTTTTTTTCATAATTTAACAAACTAAATCATGGAGAAGTTATATCTTTTATATGTTACTTAGGAAATCTTAACTACCCTTAGGAAATACTCTAAAAGCATAAGTAACTATGTGGTAGAAATCCCTTATTAAAAAGTGCCCTCTACATTTTTCCTTCTAAAATAAAAACATCAGTTTCGCTAGAGAGGCTCAAAAGACTCATTTTGAAATATTAATAAGTCTTGTTTTTGAAAATGAATCATAATGGATCATCCATTCATAAATTCACCCATTTTAGGTTAAGTGAATGACTCATCCTGAGTACTTTGTTTAATAGTCCCAGATTGTCCCTAAATGCTATTAAATGTTACCTTTCAAGAGAAACCATGTTATATATGACTTAGTTAAGAGACAACTGCAATGTTTATGCTAAAAAGGAAAATTCAGGCAAATTAAGTTGTCTTCAATTCTTCATGTTCCTAATGAATAAAATATCATTGTTCAAGTTGTTCTCTTGAAAATAGGAAATCTCAACTAGTTCATTGAGTTCTGTTTTTTTTTTAGTGATAAAAATCTCAATTAAAAAATTTTAATGAGTGGTGATGGCAAAAGGAAAGTAAGACCTAGAAATATAATTGTGTAAAATAGCTAGTAAGGAAATGAGAATCTTAGTCCTAGAGCCGTAAGAATCTCAATTTCGCCACAGCCTCATGAGATTGGAAAAGGACTCTAGCCTCCAAATGAAAACACACCCTAGCCAATACTTTGATTTTCCCTTTGTGAGACCCTGAGTAGAAAATCCAGTTTATACAACACTCAGATTTATGAACTACAGAACTGTGGGCTAATAAATGGGTGTTTCTTAAAACCACTAAGTTTGTGCTAATGTTAACAGAGCAATAGAAAACTATGACAATTGTAATGTGAACATTTTTTCTCTCATGTGTCTTGTTCAGAGGTCTGTTAGTACTTGTATGGAGTTCTTTGCCCCATAGGTAGTAAAGGAACTCAGGTTACTTCCATCTTGATCTGCCATCCCTAGAATATTACACTCGTCTGCATGATCCATGGTGGCTCACCACCAGTGTTCATGTCCCAGACAAAATGGAAGAGAAGAAGAGATAAAAGATATGCCCTCTTTCTTTAAGGACATACTTTGGAGATTATACAGGTAACTTCTGCTCACTGGCCATAGCTTAGCTGATCAACTTCTAACTAAATAAGAGAACTAAAAGTTGTCTTTGGATGAGGTGCCCATGGATCCAACTAACATCAGAAGATTATTATTATGGAAGACGTGAAGAACAAATACCAGAAAATAACTGATAGATACCACAGGCTATTCTAAATAATAATAATAACTGAAAATCTTCAAAGATCCTCCAAAAATACAGTGTTTACTTATGGAGTGGTGGTGCATGAAATTGGGAACAGGGATGAAGGGAAAGTTTTTCTTCTCTTCTTTTTTATACTTTTTCATTTTTGAATCTTGTAAAATATAAGGGTTGTATATAAGAACCACCCCCTTTTTTTTTACCCAAAAGATACTTGTCTCCCTTCCCTCCACCACATTTTACCTGTCCCAATGTGATTAGTATTTCTCCACTGTTCCTCTTTGTCCCTTTTGAGATTTTCATCATTTGGAGTTTGTTTAATCAGTGACCTCAGCCCAGTGGAGGCCATGTCAAATTTATATATATATATATGTATATGTATATATACAGTGCAT